TGTGTATAAATTTGTAGAGATTTTTCTATAATGACCAGATTCTTCTTCTCGATCGCTTGCTTCATTTGTGAAGGTCGTACCCCTGAAAGGCTTGCGCGGGCCTGCGGACGGCGAGCATGGGTGGCTCCCCGTCCGACCAGAAACAGACCCGAGCGAACGGCGCGTTGCGTTCCGCGCGCCCCTCAAAGAGCCATCAGACCACCACAGATGGGGCCCAATAGGGCCGAGGCCGATTCGGAGTCGCGGAGAACCTAACGGGTAACCGGGGCTCCGGCTCGACATGCAGGAGAAGGAACGGGGTGGTTTTTAGTCAGTAAGAGTCTGACACTCCCTCCCGCTTCACCCAGGCGGGAGCAGTCATTCGATGATTTTCCCCCTTTAAAAAAAACCTCTGAAAGGCTTTCATTGCTCTCTGTGTTATTTTCCTCCATCTTGTCCTGTTTTAGGCTTCTCTCAGGGCTTCCGTAAACGACCAGATTACCAGATAATAATATTAAATTTCAATCAACCCAATGTCCAATTCAAACATTTCATTGACACGATCATAATATTCAATCTCCTTTTTTAAAGTGTGCAATCTCATTGTACCAGAACACTACCTACTTATCTAATTTTCATAACAAACATCATTAAAAAGCATAAACGTTACTTCTTTCGATTACGATTTTTATTATGCATACAAATAAAGCTCAAAACGCTATGCAGTTCATTTCTACATAATCCCAGCTGTAATGACGTCATCATTAGCATACATACCACTGTTAGGCATTTGTGTAGATGCGTGCAGGTCAATGACCCGTATGTCTATATAGATGTTTATATAGAAATTGTGTTTAATAATATAAGGATGCAGTGAACCGGAGGTTGACGTGTTCAATTCGAATAAGAATTCAGGATCAAAACCGAACAAAATACAATGTGTTTTTTCAAATACGGTTGGTAATCTATACTTATGATTTACTTTAACGAAAAATATGTTGTACCTCTACTTATAGACCGCATCACACCACCAGGCGAGATAGTGGTCAAACGTCGGCCAACCAAATATTTACACATACAAAAAATTATTATAGAAATACAAAACTCTAATAATAAAATGTTATAGGCTACAATCAATTTTAGACATAAATATCTATCGGAACTTTTGGATACTGAAGATATATTTTGGACATCAGCTTCAGAATATAGACATGAGGAATGTACAAATATATATGCACAGATGTGCATATACATTCATATCATGAGGTCATGATTTTATACCTGGTAGAGTAGAAGAGATTACAATAAAAAACATTTTATTACACACTATAAAATATACAAAGACAAACATATAGAAAACGATAGTACATATACAACAGTCTCTTACAGACAACCTTTGGTTTTATCCAACCTTTCTTGAGATGCCCATGAATACATGGAAACGGGTAGTAATTGAATATTTGAAAATTAGTAGCAAAAATTGACCCTATATACATATTTTGCTATTGAGAAACATCTACAACCCATCTGCAATAGTTTTTTATACAAAAGTAGTCTCTACACATTTGAAATAAGGTCTATAATAAATGTGGGCGACAGAGGACACCGTGGTGTCCTCTTGACTTCATCTAGGGGCACCTTATTTATATTTTACTCTTGATATGCCATGAAGATTAAAAAATATTTATAAAAGATGTATTCATCATCAGGCACTTTTAAAACGTAAAAAATTGAATAGTCCGTCCGTTTGTCTAACAGTTAGTGAAGCTAGGTATTTTAGGATTACATCTAATATAAAAAGATAAAGTTAAATTATATTGGTCAAAAGTTACACATATTATCTACTTATTCATGTAAATATACACAATTATTGAATCGGTGGACTTATCCATTTCTATGTTAATAGATAAAACCTGGACTTTTATTGGAAACAATATTATACTCTCCATGTTTTGAAATTGTTTAATATTAGATTACAATTACAAGTAAAGCACAAACTTCTCACTACTATATTTTAGTAAGAGTAGTGACACCTATCCAGGAAACAAAGCACTAGCGTTCGTGACTATATTTAACACACATATATTTCACTGCACAAAGCATTTGCATTTTCTTCCTCAATAAATAACTAGATTTCATTTTCATCACCGAATCCATTAAAATTTTCTGCATAACACATCATGGCTCCCTTTCTTCCCTTCAGGTCATCTACACTAGACGTAAACTTCTTTAATTTTCTTTGTGGCTCCACGTCCTTCGCAAACACGTAAGCAGCATTCGGTTCTGTCTCCGTTCTAGAAGATTCTTTAGTGATATAATGGAACATTATGAAGTAATTATCATTTATTATTCTTACGACTGCATGGTCATTGACTTCCTCGTTTCCACACTTGCATCCAATCTCTAACCCTGGCATCACTTCTTCGGGAGTCTCCACAACTCTCATCGGCATGGAATATCGCTCCAACACTTCCCCTTTCTCCGAGGTCATTGACACTTGCACGGAATTAGCTCTCCTTCCATCGGCGTATGAGCATTTGACGCTCACAGGACTTTTAGCAAACGAGAAACGAATGCAAGTAGGCTGGTGTGAGGCCATTGGATAAAAGGCCACCATTGTCCAGTCTCCATAGATATTACGTATGTTTGCTTGACAGACACTCAAAAATGTGAAAAGGAGAATTATTTTCCACATTTTTGTAATATTTTATACAAGAACTGATGTAGATGCTTGTGCTTTAGAATAAAGAATGTGTACTGACAGTATTGGGATGTGACCTTTGACCGTTCCTGATAATTGTGTATTAAATAGAACGCGTGGGAGTGAGATAGCGATGTTTGTTAGCAGTTATTCGCGTGCGTCCACAATGACGTGATTTTATGTAGAGTATTTTGAAACGCCGGTCATCTATGTCCTGTGTTGCTAAAGTCACTAGCTTTTGTTTTATTTTAGGACAAAATCAAATTTTATATATGTAGTTACGATCTTGAGAACAGAGACATTGTTCATAAGTTTTGCTTCTTCACATTTGTAGTGCAATAGTTAATTTTACCTTATTTAACTTAAAATATCGAACTCGAGTATGTCCTAATCTAACACTACCACCAGTCCCTGAAGTGCAACGTTGTTTAGGAACACAACTAAGTGCCTAACAAAGGGTTGATCGTTCAGGTTAATGATCATGGTCAAGCTGGCTAAAGCTATGTCTAGTGAACTTATTGGTTTCAAGTAGCCTAAACCTAGATCAAGACTACGACATTCTATTTTTGTCCCCTGTCATATCAATAAGCACTGTTCCACATGTGTATAGTATAACCGGTGTGAATACATCCCTATTAGGCGTGGATAAAGCATTACTTCATAGGATGTAGTGAGTAGGTAGATACGTATTATATGTTGGACATTCATAGAAGAGTTTATTAGAGAAGTAATTTTGTACTTTAATGCCTTGATTTAAGAGCCGTTTTAGTTTACTCAGGACGTGCCTTTGCATTTTATTGTAAGCGTTACTTATGTTGATAGTCCAGAAGATCCTAAAGGCTTCTAAGTACCAGCTCTTGCGTTTCAGTCCCAAGATATATTTAACTGGTACTTGAAAAGAACAAAATAAGTGGGTAAAACAGTTTAAAGAAATAATTTAATACTAGATTCTTGACTATGAAATAAAACAACACATTTTGTTACATTCAACAATATTAAAATCATTATTATCGATATCAAACTTTATTTGCAGTACTGAATCCGTGATAATTCTCCTTGACACACATCGTGCCACCTCGCCTTCGTTTCAAGTCTTCGATGGTCATCATAGCTTGAAGTAACTCACTCTCCGATACAACGTTCTTCACAAAAAGGAAAGCAGTATTCTGTTCTACTTCAGCATTAGTGGTCTCTATAAACGGCTCGTTATCGTGGTACATTATGAAGAAGTTATCATTCACCAACCTTATAACCACATGGCCTCGGGTTTCCTGGTCTCCGTATGTGCAAGTCATGTTCAAAGCTGGCATCACTTCAGCAGGGGTCTCCACAATCATCACTGGCAATGGAGAATTTTGAATAATCTGACCCTTATCCGTCATTATCGACATTTGCATCAGTGTAGCATTGTTCCCATCAGCATAAGTACACTGCACATTGTCAGAAGTAGGAGAAAACGAATATTGTATGCAGACGGGAGCGTAAGTCGAGACAGGATAGAAAGCTGCTTGGTACCACGCTCCGTAGAAATTTTCTAATTTAGTCGCATGGACAACTATTACAAAATACAGGATGATAAATTTCCACATTTTTCACTTTAGAACTGATATCTTTGAGTCTGACACTTGTACTGGTTGCAAGTTAGGACGCCTGCGTTTATATTTAGATCACACTCGACTGCAGTAATCGCAGTGGACCTCTGATGCGTTGATCTGTTGTAGATTGTAGATATAAGATTTCTTAAGGTCGTGTAATGGCTTTGTAGTTTGTAA